TTTATTTAACAGTCACATTCCAAGCAGTTACAGATGTATTTTAATAAAATATGATTATAACATACTTAATAAACAGAACAGAGTAACACTAACAGTTGGATTAGGAAGTAAATATAGCCCTGCAACTATAACAAAAATATTACAAGAGAACGAGTATTATCATCACTTGTTGGTTAAACATACATCTTGTGGAGGGGATGTAGAATAACATTGGTGGTCATTTTTCAACATCAAATTTACAAGTGTTGAGTACATTTTATGTTTTATATTTATTCTACCATAACACTTCTCTTATGACTTGTACACTAGGTATTCGGTACATTTCATCAAACCAATGCAGGTGCTAAACATAACCTCCTGTACTCCACCAATGCATGGAAGGAGCTCCTAGGCATAACATTTTGGTGCTGTTGTTTTTTTTTAAGTACAGTAACATTTCCTTAAGTAATGGGTAATATACACATCAATCAAAAGTTCAAACTTTCCGTGTGAGCGACATTGCTTGAATGCTGCCTGACAGACCTTCATATGTTTAGAACTATCTTCAAATTCCTCACTATCAAATGAAACTTTCCAACCTTCAAACACAGCTCTAGTCAATGATATATATATATAATAGCTATTTTGGGGGCAGTAATACTTCCAAAGTTAGTGACAACAGTAATATAGAGAGGAAAGGGCAAAGTTTTAAGAGGAATTACAAATTTAAAAGTAACAAAGTATTTGCAATTTAGTAAGACTGATAAGATCTCATTCGATTGAAGTTCTGTGCACAGTTTTGGCCCTCTTACTACAGAAAGATTAACAATAAGTTAAAATGTGTGCAGGCATTCAACTAGATAAATAACTATGCTTTACGAAATTTAAGCTGTGAGGAGCCTAAAATATTTCCTTTTTATAGAACATAGAAGAAATAGAGGTGTCTAAACTAAGATGTTCAAAATTGTTCTGTTTACAAGCCTTGAACTTAACATTTGATGGTACTAGCAAATGGTTTCCATTTGTTTCTTTCCAATAGCAAATTCAAGAGCACTACTAGCAACAACATTATTCTTCTTTAAAATTAACTGTAACTGTCATAATTGTTTCATGTACTAAATTTTAATACATACGCTCGTGCACTTACTCATGTGTGTATGTATATATATATATATATATATATATATATACACACACGCGCGCACACACACACACACACACACACACACTCACTAGTGAACCTGTGACCCTTGTTTACAGAGTTGCTATGATGCCAATTTAACTTGAACTACAATTTTGCACTTTTTCAGTTTATTTGCTGCTATTACTACAAATTGAATTTCTTGAACCAAGTTACAAACAGTAATTAGTAGGTCTACATATTTATGTGCCCTAATGTAAATCAAACTCAAATTTGGGGTCTGTTTTTGGGGGATCACCCTAAAAGTGTTTTCACAAAATACCCGGGTTCCTCAAGGGGTGGGGTGTAAAAATTTTACTTTTGTGCAAACCCCTGGACCAAGACAATGCATTTGGTACCAGTTAGAAGTTGGTGTGACCAGCAGTTTAGGAGGAGTTATGTGACGCAGACAAACACTGAATTTTATTATATTATTAACACACACACACAGATGTGTATGTATATGTAATATGTGTAAATCTTCAGTCATGTTTTCTTTTCAAAAGATTTTGAATATCAAACCCATCTTAATTAAATGGACAATTTGACAATGTTAAAGATGCTCAGTTTGGTCTCACTATCCTAATTTTTTGAAAATTAGCCATGCAGCTCAAATGGGGATTGCAAAACCAGCATGGCACTGGTAAGTGAAACGGTCACCATTATAGTAACCTTCTGTACTCAGAATCTTGTAATATAAGTGACTGAATCCATGTATTCAGCTATATTGACACAAAACATCAATAATGCAAATCTTCCTTATGAAGTATGTACTATCAATTTTGACACACTAATTAGCAATTTGCTAGAATTAATTACCGGCCCTGATTCATGGTTTACTTTAGCAGTGGAGTAAAAAAACAACAAAAGAAACATGGACTTTAATATTAAAGATTATAGGCTTAAGCTTTAGAAACCTAAATAGACTTATTCTTTATTAACATTTTTTGTGTTCAGTTATAAATATTTGGAATAATGTGCTTGATATTGTGGTGTATGTAAACAGTGTGAATTTTAAGTTCAAGTTTGATATATGCAAGTATATAAAAGTGAAGATCTGTATTTCGATTGGTTGTTATATGGATGAAGGGGGGGTGACCTATCTAGGCTAAATAGTGTTCTGTCGTATTGAGTTTTAATGTTTTAACTAAGTATAATTTCTTATAGTTCATATGCATTATAGTAGCTACCATTTGCATGAAAAAAGCATGCATGCTCACATGTAATTTTTTTTCCAAAAATTGATAGGCTAAAATTTTGCTTTTGGGACATAGGTTTAAAAGAAATACCCATTACACTGACATGTAGTTTTGATGTTCTTTCAAATATATTAACTTATTAGTAAGATATTGGCTTACATATGTTGTACTACCAAGAGATTTTTTTTAAACCTGCCCTATTTATAGTGAATGCATTTATAGGACAAGATATACTTTAATGTTATCAGTATTGCTTAAGTTTAGTATTGCTCTATCATTAACAGTAACATAATATTCAACTTTAGTAGTGCTAGTAAAGTATTCTGTTGTTGATACTGTCAGTTTTATAAGGACTTAATTCTTTACAGTAGGTGTCTTTGACTTGTTGGCAATAAATTTCAACAATAAATGGACATCACACAATCTACTTGTTTTAAAATAATATATTAAAAACAAGTCAAATGTATGTAAAAGAAAACATTTCATTACACTGTTGGTTATCACAGTTATATCCAGAGCTGTAAATAACACCCTTTGACAAGACAAATTATTCTCCTCTACTCTGTTATTACAATACAAGGCTGTGATACTCATTTTAAAATCACCACTAAAACTGTTGGTTACCACAGTTGTATCCAGAGCTTTAAATAATTGTCTTCTTTTTTATCAAAGTCCACACAGGTGGGTTTTAATTACTTTAGAACACCCTTTGACAAGACAAATTAATTTCCTCTATCACTGTTATTACAATACAAACTGTGAAGCTCACTTTAGAAATCACCCGTTATGGCTAACCTCACATGCAGTGTAACTTTACTTATACATATATATATTTTCCCGACTGAGGCCTAGAACTTTCTACAAACTACAAGATATTATGATGTAACAATACTCACTTAAAGCAACAAGAAAAATTCAGAAGGTTCAATTAACATGACATCAATTCTCAACAATTGAACTACATAACAAATGAATTGTAAACAGTTACATAAGCAAACTGGCCATAAGTATCACTTCTAAAATTAACTTACTTTAACACTTGCACTATATAAACTAAATATTTTTGTATTAAACTTAAATTGAACAGTCATGTATATCTAACATAGACATTCACTTAATGTTAAATCTTTACTTAAAAGTATGGTTTCCTGATATTAGAATTTACTAGTTGCCACAGTAAAATCCATATTTTTTTTTAATTGTATAACTTTCAGGTCTTGTAATACATGTGGTAAGCCTGAATGGGGGTGCTTTTTTCTGCTCTGAATTCCATCATATTTTCCTTTTTTTTTTAAACATTGTATAATAAAATTCAGCTGCATAAGTCATATTTTATCGAAGGATGTGCATCATTATTTACTGAATATAATATTGTGAGTGCATGATTGTTTAGTGTCAATTTGTATTGATCAATTAATTATTAATTAAAATTGGCTTTGAATCATAGTAAGCATTTTATGTAATGTTCAATTCAAGGACTTTATTTTAAGTTAGTTTTATTACTTTGAACACAAAGATTTATGCATTAATTTTCATAAATACATGTAGTTCAGGTGGTTACCTATTTTAACTGATATGATGTTAGGTTTAAAAATGGTGGCAGAAGTTCTTCTGGCTTTTTCATTAGGGGAAAATAGAAGTAGGTTATCATTAGTTGCAAGATGCATCATCACTGTCATAATAAACCATGATTATTATATTTGTCAATATAGTTAGTGAATTAGTTACTGTAACTTTGCTACTTGTAAGATAATTTCCATTAAAGCAACAAATCGGAACCACTGCTATACTATAATTAGAACGTAAGAAGTGTCACTGTAGAATTGATTGAAGAATTTTATTAATTCTAAAGGAACTTGTTTGAAATATCAAAATAGCACGTTCTATCGTATATCTCCATATTTTCTTGAAATGTATGTAATAGTTTTACAACACAACCAGATATATCAAAGAAAGACTTAGTTTTGTGTTTGCACTCCAAGTAATCACTCATCAGAAATAGTTGAACAACAGTCCACTGTGACATGGCTTGAGTCTCTCACCTTCTATATTATTCTAGAGTCCTGATACTGTAGTTTAAACAGTTGAACTAGCAGGGCTTTAAGCACAAACAATTTTCTACTTAATTCATCTATCTTCAGAAGTACATGTTCTTATTTTTGCTAGGAATTTAGTCAGTAAACAATATAGACTTAAGTCATTCATTGGTTGAATAATTTCTTGCAAATTCAGTTTGGTCTTTAATAACTTCACTATAATCACATATTTCATGACTCGGAGGTTTTGGACAGTTTTTCGGTATGTATTGCAAATAGTGTTTGTAATGTTGTTTACTCATCACAAGTAGCTTATCATTGCAAGTATATCGAGAAGATAGCATTAATATTATCAATTAAGTCTTCCATATTCTTCAGCAGACATTTTTTTGACAATTTTTTTTTTCTTAGCACCAAGATTGTTTATTGTGGAGGGGAAAAAAAAACTCATTCTATTCCTAGGTTTTCCATACATTGATGAGGTAAACTGATTAATTTTAAGAATTCCATCACAAATAACCTATAATTTTTAAATCCCTATATTAATAAATTGTTATATGTGGTAATTAAAAGACATTAGAAAAACCATAACCTTTAGCTGCATTATAAGATGACTTGTTTTGACCATTGGTTTGTCTTTGTGAGGGATGATGTTACATGAAACCAGTCTAGTTAAGTTAATTAGTTTATGTGAGTGTCGTTTTGACTTGATCTCTTGTAGAATTAAGGAAAACGTGCAAGGTTTTTTAAAGCTAAGAGTAAGAAGTTTCACAAATATAGTCTACAACAGTTATTTCCCACTTCTGTTGCATGTGTATGACTGTTTAGTTTTTTTATGTACCTTTGAATCATCTGTAAAATTTTCCAAAGAAGTTAATCAACCAACATTGTATGAGACCAGAACTCCAACGTGCACCTGAATTTTAACCTGAAAATGTGGAAAATTTTTAATAACTGCAATTAATTTTATTGTTATTAGATTTTTTTATTATTATTTTAACATAAGTGAAAGTGTGAGTAATGTGTATAAGTTTCATGTACGTCTAAATGTTCTATTCATAAATTGTCATACCTCTCAACTATTCACTATAATGGTACAGTGCCCTTCAAATTATGGTAAATTGTTTTTAAATATGGCATTTCTTTTACAAAGTGATATTTGTGAAGGAAAGTTGTAGGCTTAAGTATAAGTATAAGAAATGTATTATTAAAAAAATTTACAAATTTTCACATTTTTGTTTATGCTTAGTTAAAATAAACAAATAGTAATGAAAAATTAGCCCAAATTTTTTCTAAGACAGGCTGTAGCTGGAATACTTTATTGTGCATTATCAAGTGTAGAGAAGGAAACTCGCATCCATATTCTCCAATTTGGTTAATGTTTTACAAGTTTATGTACATACTGCAAGTTATTTGGAAGAAAAATTTAAATTGAAAGGAAGGGTGCTTTCTAGATATTGTATGTACATATATTAGTGTTAGTGTATAAGTGCACTGTTGAAAATTAAAGATAGAAAGTTTTTATAGCTGAGAATAGAGTTGTATAAGTGAATCTTGTTAATCATTGCCTTCTGGAAAAAACAGCTAAATATAGGTTACCTTTATCCTGAAGGTAAAACATGGTTAAGTATGTTAGTAGATTTAGGTCACTAAGTTGAGGTCATTGCCTTTTTTTTTTTTTTTTTTGCTGAACATTTATATGTTAAAGTTACAGTTAACATCCTCTTTGAATATGTAAGTTATTACCAAAAAAAAAATGTGTAAAAGATTGTAGAAATTAATTTATACGTAGTTTCAAAACAAATTTACTAAGATAAAGTATAGTTTTTGAATATTGACAGAGTAAAGATTTTTCTTTTATATTTATTTGTCTAATTCAAATGAAGAATGGGAAATTTTTGTTTCAAGTTACTTTTTTGTTTATAAATATCATTATATAGAGTAAGTTTTTAGTGTGTAGTAAATAATGTGACTAAATAATGTGCATTTCTACTTAATGCTTTATTAAAGAAAAGGAGAGGCCATCAGATGTTCAATTACATAGTTTCATCCTGCGAAGAAATTTAAAAAAAAGGCAAAAAAACATTTAAGTCAACAATGATGAAAGACTGTTTGCAGTGACTTTGAACTCTGTTAATAACATCTTTTTAGTGATTGAAGATCATCAAGTACTGTGACCTCAGTCTTTCACATGCAACAATCAGAGTCTAATTTTATAACTCAGCCTCCCTATCTAGTTTTATTTTGATTGTTCATGTATAAGCGCATGTGTAATATTAAAATTTGTTGTTTTGCACATGGTGATCTATGTAGGCATGTTAATAGCTTTCGATAAAAGTTCTTCATGGACTCTTGATTATCCAGATTGAAAGTTCTTCACTGTTGACCTCTTACTAATGCTAAAACTGTCTGTTTCTGGTTTGCACTCTATTGAAAGTTCTTTAAATGGACTCGGCATTTTCCTTGTTGAAAATGAAGGCCACTGTAAGGAAATATTGATCAATAGTGAATGTTACCCTGCATTTGAAGTATGATTTTATTAACATTTATTTCATCATAGTAGCAGTTCTACCATTAAGAATAAGTTTTTCTCAGAGTTTTACCTTTACATCTTTTTATAAGTGGCCTTGAAACAGAATGCCTGAGGAAATTTTAAAGTAGTTAGCAAAAGGAGGAAAGAAAACATAAACATGCTTGTTTTTTTATTTCTTTCAAGCCTTATAATATTGAGTGTGGTTTGAGAAATGTTTGTCTTGAAGGGATTAATTATTACCAATTTTCCTTATACAGTCCTTGAAAGCTTTTTATTTGCCAACTATTTTAAAAAATTGCTTAGATATATTGTGACTTGAAAGATTGCATCACTATAGTTATATCTGTGCTCAGTGTTTATTATTATCTTCATTTAGAAGTGTATTAACAAGTGTATTTTTGCTGCAAAACAAGTTATTTTAACATTGTTCAGGAAAAAAAAAAGTTGTATTCTTGATACCAGTATCTGTACAAAAATGGCCTAATTTGACAACAACAGCAAAAAAAAAATTACAAGTGTGTGTGATTGTGTCACAGAAATTCTGAAAAATTCAGTTTTGCACATTTTTTCATTTTGTAATGCACTTGTAATAATTATGGGATTATTAACTAAGTGTTCTTTATTTAATTTCTTTTTTTTCTTTTTTTTCAATGTTCAAGGTGATGACATGTATCCTCAAGAACCAGACCTTCATGGTAATGGCTCTTCTAAAGACCTGTCTGCTACACTGAGTGAACTAAAAACTCAAGTTAAAAATCAGCATCATGTGGAACTGCAAGGAATGCTGAGTAGAGTATTCTGTAACATTAAGCCCCCTTGTGGCCAATTGCAACCTCTTACCTACAGAAATCCTAAACCTGCCGTCCAGTCCTATTTGTAGTGAACGTTTGGTACTATAATAGGGAAATAATTATATTAGCTTTAGGTTGCTTGTGGCTGAACACACTGTAAAGCTTATGATTTTTGGTTATTTGTTTAGTATAAAAAAGATACACAAAACAAAATAAAAAAAACTTGGCACATGGTATTTTAGTTCATTGGCAGTTCCAGCTGTTGAAGAAAATCTGTTTCTTTTTTCAAAACGAATAAGCAATTTTGTATTTTATTATATTTTCCACAATACAAATAACAAGTATTTTGGCTACACAGTTTATTGAAATATAACATATCTGTTATGTATATACTAACTGTTTTCATAAACATTTTTCATAAAATGAAGCCACATGTTTTACAGAGTGTGGTTTATAGTTTATTAAGAACATTACAAGCTAATATTTTTACTAATTGTTTTGTCCACATTTATAGTTTAGTCTTTTGAAAATATTTTTGTATAACATAGAAGCCTACAAAAAACATGTTGAAATAAAAAAAAATTATACAAAGAATTATTTTTCTCTGCTCAGTGAAAAGGGTACAACCTCCATTTTGGAATTTGTAGATCTTAAAATCTTTGTGGTAGAATCCATGACAAATTAAACTAAAGCTGAAATGTTAGATGAAAGAGTGTTTAATGTGATTCAATAATTACTGAAATGTGTTTTTCCCACATATAAGGCCAAGAAAAAGAGTATCATTGTTTCTGATTACCCAACCTTCCGTATGTTTGAAAGAGCCCAACTCTAGCAGTGTTTATGATATAACTAAGAAATTGCACAATTTATCTGCCATGCTGAGTTCTTCAGAAAAATATGAATATTTTTTTTACCCAGCATGTCTTCTTTTTGAGAATTCTGAACTGGAAATATTTTTCTGATATCAGTTTTAAACAAGAATATGTTGGTGCTTCTGAGCATGGGTAAGCATCTTATGAATATTGTGAACACATCAGAATTGTTGTATAAACAGACAAAATTTCCTACTTCTATGTAGTAAATGAATATTTAGGAACACCTATATTTAGGGCAGGTGGTTAGGGTGCTCGATTCGTAATCTGCGGGTCGTGCATTCAAATCCCCGTTACACCAAACATGCTCGCCCTTTCAGCCGTGGGAGCGTTA